TAATCACGAAACCGCACCCGTGATCGATTCGAGACAAAATGCTGCTCCGATACTTTCGTATCGGGCAGCTAATTTTGAAATAAGGCCACGCCAAATTAAACCTATGTTTAACATAGCCCCCTTTTTGAGCCTCAGAGGGAGGTAATAAAAATCACTTAATATAAAAATCATATTAACTGTTCAAAAAAAATTTTTTTTAGCCAATCAAAATCCCATGCTTTTTACCCCACCTGTTTAGAGTTGCAGATCATTTATTAGTGTTATGTTAAACATAGAATCAAATTGGAATGGCCTAAGTGTTAATTTTTTGAATCGTACCCCTAATCATAATAAAATGGACCGGAACTAGGTTTGGTACTAAGTAAACCTACTTGTCTCAATGCGAGAAACAACTTTGTTAGGTTTCGAAAGTAGGCTTACCTAGTACTAAACTTTTATTGAGATGCGCGTTAATTCGAAAACGCCCATGGGCGTTAATTCGGGACCGTATATGCTATTTTAGGAGGTTTTGATTTTTGAAATAACTCCCATGAGCGTTATTCCGCGGCTACAAATACAGTAAAATTATTTTAGCAGAAAATTAAAAATTTTAGGAAAAAATTTTTATAGCTGGAGTAGTGATAGTCCTCTCAAATATGACAATTCTCCTGACATGTGCTGCGCAGTGGCACATTTCAGCCAACCATTTGTTCTCATGACCAATATCGATGTTATCATGATTTACAATTCATTATTGGCTAACTGAGATTGTTGTGCTTAATAATAAAAAATAACAAGAAAAAAATCTACGATCATAAGAGTTTGCACGATAACAAATTTTGAATGTGAAAAAAATTAATATGATATTATAATTTTGTACAGACAAGCTTCTTGTTCTTGTAATGAGGGCCTTGCACCAGTTTCAAAAGGCACTTCTGATCACTTCTATACCATCATCATCATTATCATCATCGTTACGTGCGTTATTGGTGTAAAGGATCCATGTGAACCTTCTAATATCGAACCAAGCTTTCCTATAATGAATCCCCAGTATACTTGAATCAAAATATGCTTTAAGGTGGGAGAAAGTAGAACAATTAGAAAATCCAATAAATTAAAATTGATTGATTACTATCTATAATAAGTTGTAGTAATTAATAAGCGTATCTTTGTTATAAGACTGCAAAAAATTACTGCCAAGATTCTGGTAGTTGTAATAAAAGTGATATATAATCTTTTCCAAATACACTAGAGCCTTGGGCCGTTGTATTCTGATTGGTAAAAGGAGATTTTTTAAAATTCTTTTTCACACCAAATTCTATATCAGATTTATCATCAAAATAAATTTTTGCGTTTCAACACTCTTAGGAATTTTTGTATAAATTTCATTGTGTTATTTAAAGTTCCAATATCAGTAATATATGTGTTCATCACTTGTCATATCGACAATAAAGTCATCAACAATAAAGTCATCAACATAATCATCAGGAGTTTGTACAGTTCATCTTGTTTAGTGTTATAATCAGTTTTAGAAAGTTTCTTAAGCATGTCAGTTTGACCCTTTTCTGAATAATCTTTATCTCATCACCAGGCTTATAAATCAATATGCGCGTACATATGTACATACAGTATGTATATCAATACTGTTAGTCAATTCTGTGAAATGAACATCTTTATATAAAAACTTTATATCGGGTAAGTGTTAACTTTCAAAAAAACTTTTTTCCAAATGTTATTTCATTTTAAAGAAAGTCGACGTAATTCAAAAGAAACAAGAAGTTTCTAAATGAAACTGGTACATTTGAATTTAAAATTTCTTTTGAATTAAGTCAACGTTCTTTAAAATGAAGTGGATATTTGGAAAAAAGGCTTTTCCAAGAGTTAACAATTACCATATTGAACCGATATAAAATTTAAATATTTGCAATTTGTTATAAAGACATCCATTTTGAGAATTGAACATACTTATAGTATGATATATAGTTTTATTGTATAATGCATACTTAGGATTTATAGAGGTTTATATATATATTTAGTGAGTGTTTAGTGCGCTGTATCCTACTGTAAGTAAGCATCGCACCCTCTACCTAACTTTTTATATGTCAAATTGGCGGAAATCGCAATGAAGTCTTTAGCCAAATTATTCCCACTCGTCTGATACTTAAAAAAGTGGGGTAGGTGTGTGCTTATTCACGGTAGAATATGGTGATATAAAGGTTCAAATTTTGTTACACGTAAGATTTTTGGGGGTTTGAACATTTTTGCTTAGTACACCTAACTCTAATTATTTAGTTTGTTTTTATAATTTAGTAATTGTAATGTTATATATATAGCATGATTTAGTAAAACCGATATCAAAAACTAATTATTAATTGGTGCTCTAGATAAAAATGCACTATGCCTCTAAAATCTTTTTCAAACCTTAAACGTAATCCTAAATATAACTCCATTATGAAAAATTAGAATTAAAAATTTTATATACAAACTAATTTTCAACATGCCCGTCTGTGGCGCAGTTTTTTATACAGTAATGTATCAAATTGAAAATGTATATCAAAATTATGTTAGATATATTGATTAACTTACTATAATCAGATTTTATTAGCGAAATTAGAGTAATAAATCGAACATTATATTTAGATTGTTTAATTATAAAAAAAGAGTAAAATTCTAAAAGATTTACATGAATTTCAATTTTTTTCAATTGGTTTTTTTTAATTTAGTTTTTTTTAATAATATTATTAAATTATTTATTTTTTTTTTTTGCATTTTTTATTTGAATTTTTTCTTTATTTTTAATTTTAAAATACTAACTTGCCCCTGGTTAAATCACCAAGAGGTGCTGTAGCTCAATAATATACTAAGTAATTAAAGTTAGAGGTTCTAAGTAAAAATATTAGAATTTTTAAAAACCTTTTATATAACAAAATTTGGATCTCTATATTAAATTTTATTATATTATATAAATCTTTATTTTTATTAAAATTGCACTCTAATTCTAAAAAATTAGAGATAATAAATATTACTACTAGTTAAAATTGGTTATTTTTTTAATTTTAATACTATATATTGTTTTTTTTATTTTTTTATTTTATATTAGTTTTTATCTAAGAGTTATATAATTTAGCACATCTGCACTGTAATGCATCTATCTGATCAACTAATTAGATTGTAAAATCAAATATAATGTAAAATCAAAAAAAATAGCGATGTTTCTAAAAAATTGCTTGTAATTTAAAATTTTGCTTATAAAACTACTTTTATATTTTAACAAAAAAAAATTTTTACAAAATTTTGGGTTAGAACTTTCTTGCTAAAGCACTTTACTCTAACCCTAACCTAACTCCAACCTAACTCTCACCCTAACAACTAATGAATTAATTTATTGTTTTGATTTTATATTATATCAGATCTTATAAAGTATATCATAATATATATATACTAAAATTAAAAATCTTTTATTTAATTTATTTTTGGTTATATAGTTATTAATTAATTTTTTTTTTAACTTTTTGGCAGTCTTGCCAATATTCAAATAACAATTTTATTTGCTAATATTCTAATATAAGTATTATTATATTAGAAAAAGTTCATAAGTTGTAGGCTTAATACTATCTAGATATAATAGAATTCCAAAGAACTTTAATATAATAAATCTAAGTTTTATATAATTTTAGCTAAATAAATAAAGCAAAATTTAAAATTTACTATATAAATATAATGTTTAATAAATTTTTATATAATTTTTTTTTTTTTTTTAATTATATTTAAACTATATTAAAGTTTTTTAGGTTTTAATATAATTAGTTATACTAGTATACAAAGTATTTTTTTAATGTTAAGGTAACTACTTAAACTCTTGATACTTTATTAATACAATTGGATAGGCCTGGCTATACATATTATATCAATATCACAAGAGTACAACTTGTTATATATACAACTTTTAGCTGTCTAATTTAAGTAGTTTGCTTGAGCATTAGTGATATACTAAGAGTTCTATGCTAGATGTCATACCTATAGTCTAACTAAGAAGTTATCTATTTTAAACTCTCTGGCTTTACTAGTATTATATACTTTCTTCTAATATACCTCTTTACAAAGTAATTTACCAAATAAGACTTAAGACTTTAGCTACCAATCTATTTTAAGAGATATTTATCCTTGTAGTAAATTTAACAGAATAGTATATATCCTATATATACTGTATATTTATCTGCATGTTTAGTAATTTCTTCCTAACTAATACCTGTTATGCTGCTATTACCAAGTTCATATCTCAAGCCAATTTTTAGAGTGCTGCTATAATCTGATCTGTATCTCAAGCTACAATCTTTTTAATTAGTCATCTATTACTTACTTCTGCCTTTATAAAGTTCACAGCAACCCTGGTACCTACATTTTAACTATTTTCTAATCTAGATTTTTTATTAGTTTCTCTTTTATTTTTAGCTAGCAATGCAGAAGAGTTGGTTTGTCTAGATTTTAGATGCCTTATAGTTGCTCTCTTTTTAATCTATACTTTTAAAATATATATTCTTTTTCTTCTATATGTCTAATACTTAGCAGTTTGGCTAGTGTGTCTTCTACTTAAGAATCTGATCGCTCAATTTTCCAATCTCAAGCCCAGTTCAAATTCAGCCTTTTTGTAGCATTGCCAAAGATTACTACTACATCCAACTTGGAACTTTCTAAATAGATTTTTAGTTATTTTAGTTTTTCAAATTTATTGCACCAAAGCTCTTATTACTAGATAGTGTAACTAAGATTATAGATTTAATTCTAAATCTAACTGATAATTAATAACCAACAACTATATATAGATCTATTTTTCAAAATTGCCATTTATAAGATTTGAACTCTAAACTTGCTACTTGGAGAGAGTAATGACTAGATTAGGCATATAAAGTTTTTTTTTTTTTTTTTGGTGTTAAGATGAGGTCATGTTTCATGACTTTATTATAAGCATATATTTTATATATATTATGTGATACAATTATTATATACTATTATTAAGTACATTATAGCTCAGACAGGTCTTGACTACTATCTGTGACCTAAACCTACCAGAGAATTCCATATCCCACTTATGTACAACCTGGATTTTTAACTACTATATCCGATTTGTACACAAAACTCTCTTCTATATTCACTGCATCTTTCATATTTACAACATACAACTCCCTCTTTTGGTAACCCGTAGAAGGCCTCATAACCTAACGGTTACTCCCAAATTGGTCAGACCACTCTGCTTCTCTAATTCAAGCCTATTTCAGCTACTATAGATTCTACATCATGTGTTAATACCATGTGGAGCTTATACTTAACAAGATATAGTTTTGCAGATGAGGCGGCACTACAGCTGTTCCACAAAGTTATAGCCCAATTAACGTTATATATATAATATATGCATTGCCAATTCTTGATAACAGGTACTCCCGTAGTTGGTAGGTATAAGAGTAAGGGAATGATCATAACAAAGTTACTTCCAAAGGTGTTTTTCATGCTCCAGATCTTCCAAATTCTTCTGAGTTTCCCCCAGATATATTTGGTGTTTCCATTGCCCCAATATTTTAGATTATAAGACATTTAGGGGTATAGACCTAACTAGGACTTGTGGTCTGTTTCACTTCCACGTTAATGTTTGATGCTTCTTATTGGTGTTCTCTCTCTCATTCATGTATTGCTACACTCCCAGCCTGGTACATCCAGCCATTTTGCCCACGTTTGGGTATAGTTACACATACCCCAAGTTTCAGCCAACTCTCTATAGAAGTTTGTTCTTTTCCTCATCAGGTAAGTAGTTGCACCAGAGGTGTTTCAAATCCAGTAAGGCCAATTCTTTACCACAGATCCTTTTGTGTTCACCACATTTCTCATCACTTCCAATTCTAGTTATCGCCAGTTATCCTCTCAAACAAGATTCCCAATGCCACCTTAGGGGTTGTTGGTGCTATCTTGCCAATCGCGGATTTACACGCATAACCTTTGTGTAATAGAACCTTCTGTAACAACCACTATTACATGTAGTGCCAACTACTCTACAATGAACCTCCTTCCAGAAATTCCTAATCCAGACCTGTATTCACTTGAACTTCCCATGGCAGATACTTCCAAATATTCATAGATAAACATACCTACTAGGACTTGAACTCGAAACCCACTCGTGAAGGATTGGGTGCCTAGACCACTATGCCACGGGATTCCAACTCCAGACATAAAGTATTTAAAAGGTTTATCAAACTATTATATTATAAAAAGTATATTCACTTTAAAAAATTTAAAAAACTTAAAAATAAGAAAAAAATAATACTAAACTAACAAAAAAATATATAAAAAAAAGTTAAAAATATAAAGAAAGCTAAACAAAATACTAAAAATTTTTTTTAATAAATAATAAACTTTAAACAAGTTGGTTAATAGTATATAAA